ATCGGAATCGTTTCGATCCTATTAATCACGGGTACGTCTGATCGCGTTCTATTATCGATCAGAACTCTGCGCTCGGAAGATTCTAGATTAGACTGGTTTTAGTGGGTCACCCTGTATGTGTTCATCACGTGGATGCATCTGTTACGCATTCAGTCCAGCGGGAGATTTATTGCAATTATTTTGGGAGCCCTACCATTAGGCTCAAATGAATTCCAAAGTCACTAAATGTGCTCAAACGAATTCTGCTCGTTCCAAAGGAATTTCAGAGTCATGTAACTTGGCTCAAATCAAGATTTAAGTCTTCCAACTCGGTTAAAGTGAATTACAGAGGCTCTCAATATGACTCATACGTATTCCAAATCATTTCATTCTCCTCAAATAAATTCCAAAGCCACCAGATGTGCTCAAAGGAATTCCAGAGCCATCTAACTTGGCTCAAATCAAGATTTAAGTCTTCCAACTCGGTTAAAGTGAATTACAGAGGCTCTCAATATGACTCATACGTATTCCAAATCGTTTCATTCTCCTCAAATAAATTCCAAAGCCACCAGATGCGCTCAAACGAGTTTTGCTCGTTACAAAGGAATTTCAGAGCCACCCAACTTGGCTCAAACTGAATGCAACGCCTCCGAATATGGCTCAAACGAATCATAAGTAGATCACGTGTTCTCGGCTCAGAAATATCATTGCATCTACAGATGCATCGAACGTGGCCTTCGTAGGCCTCCTGTGTGCAAGGCCCCTGCATTCGTGGCGGTGGAACAGATATTTCTGAGTCATGCGTGTAACGACCTCGATTTACTTTGATTGTTTTCCTTATTTTTATATCCAGCGATCTACAGCGTAGCGTTGAAATTCGTCGACGGTCCTTACCTTCGTTTCAAAATGGAGAAAATAAAATATTCGCGTGCTTGTTAAAATCCGTTCACTTTCATCCGCGATGCAAATACAAAATAATGTTCGTTTTGCACGATTGCCTTCCGTAGATTCGGTTTTGCGCGTATCAGCGAGGAAGTAAACGATGCTGGGTCCCCTCCAGGGGCGCCCGTTGCGTATAACGCGTCTTCTTTTTCTCCGCGAGCACGATTGTCCGCAACCGGCGTTGAATCGAGATCGAGCGAGAGATGTCCACACAAGCGAATTCGAGCGTGAACCCCGTAACAATGAGCGAAAGTAAGCGGCGGGCGAAAGCAAATGCGAAACACACGAGAAGCGGTGTCGTCGTTGTCTGCGCGTCGAAACGCCTAGCGTTTTGTTCTTATCTATGATCGCGACTCGCTATTACACCGCTTCCGGGCAGTGACCGCACGATGAACGACGCTTTCCACCCGATACACGCTTTCCACGGGACACCGCATCGATGCATTTGAAATTTAATTGAATTGGAAATGCAGCGAAGTGCGAACTATTCGTCTCGGAGGAATTTCAAAGCCCTCGAACTTGACTCAAACGAATTCCGAATCGTCTCACTTGTCTCAGAGGCGTCCTAAAGCCCTCGAAATTGGCTCAAACGAATCTCAAACTATTCGATTCGTCTCAAAGGAATTCCAAAGCTCTCGAACTCGGCTCAAACGAATTCCAAATCATCTCACTTGTCTCAGAGGAGTACTAAAGCCCTCGAATTTGACTCAAACGAATTCCAAATCATCCCTCTTGTCTCATAGGAATTCCACAGCCCTCGAACTTGACTCCAAGTAATTTTAAAGCCAGCCGAATTCTACTCAAACGAATTCCTCACTATTCCACTCGTTCCAGAGGAATTTCAAAGCCCTCGAACTCGACTCAAACGAATTCCGAATCGTCTCACTTGTCTCAGAGGAGTCCTAAAGCCCTCGAAATTGGCTCAAACGAATCTCAAACTATTCGATTCGTCTCAAAGGAATTCCAAAGCTCTCGAACTCGACTCAAACGAATTCCAAATCATCTCACTTGTCTCAGAGGAGCCCTAAAGCCCTCGAACTTGACTCCAAGTAATTTTAAAGCCAGCCGAATTCTACTCAAACGAATTCCTCACCATTCCACTCGTTCCAGAAGAATGCTAAAGCCTTCGAACTCGACTCAAACGAATTCCAAATCATCTCACTTGTCTCAGAGGAGCCTAAAGCCCTCGAAATTGGCTCAAACGAATCTCAAACTATTCGATTCGTCTCAAAGGAATTCCAAAGGCCTGAAACTTGACAAACGCACTCAAACTGAAACATAAATTTCTCAAAAATCCTATTCCTTCTCGTAATTAATAAACTCTCACGAGTGTTTGTATTATCATCGCCGATCTGATATACCCTCACCTCGTCATTCAGCAAAGCAAACAGTCCTACATCCACGAATAGTAACTGGAGCATCGTAATTGCTGCAAGAGATGAAAAACGACCTCGTCGAATCAATCAAAGCACAGATGTTCCGTAACCTCGTCGTCTCCCAGCCGCCTACAACTGTGGGTCTCGCGTAGAAACCGTAGGATCCGCGGCTAGAACTCGTACAACACCGCGACTCCGTAAGACCCACGTCACGACGCGTCCTGTTCGTCGAGGTGGGGTGTAGGCCGATCGTTCGTCGGTTTCGCCGTGAAACATCCGAGCGAGCGAGTCAGCCAGTCAACCTGAAACTGCGAGCAAACCGCGACAGCGTGCGCCTCGTTGCTCCGTGCGCCCGCTAAACCAATGGCGCCAGGCCTACGGTCGACTCAAAACAAACGCTCCAAGTCGGCGTTTCGCGCCGCGGCGAAGTCGCGCGTCGGCCACGATTGCGATTAGGACACGAGCGAAACGGTGTGCGATCCGTTGCAGCGATCGAGACATCGCGAACGGTTCGCGAAAAATAGTCGCGGGAATCGCGAGTGGAATCAAGTACTAGCATCAAGATACGTGGGAGTTGGTTGAAGAGGGTTTCATGACAGTGTGAGTGAGAGTTTTATCGAGTCTGGGAGGGAGTGATTTCGGCGCGATGGAATCGCGGGAAATTGAATTCAGCGCGCTGGGGAATTCCTTGCGAGCATCGAATTAGGGGCTCAAACGAATAAGAAATGAATTCCAAAGCATTGCATTCTTCTCGAAGGAATTTGGATCACTCGGACAAATTGTTCTTGTCTCAAAGGAATTCCAAACTTGACTCAAACGAATGGCAACGCTTGTAACTCCTCTAAAATGATTTCCAAAGTATTGCATTCGTCTCAAAGGAATTTCAAACTTGACTCAAACGAATTCCAAAGTCTTCCAATAAATTCCAGGGCTCTTCCATTCGACTGAAACTGGTCCCATGTTTACAAAAAAATATTAATTTAATGCAAAATCCCTTGAAATGTATTCCACAGTTCCTCTGGTCGATTTATGTGAATCGCAAAGCGTCCTAAGTAGGCTGGAAGTACCGCAAATGTCCCAAGAGCGATCGACGGGCCTCAGCACCGAGGGAATCGGTTCGTGACCGAAATTCTTGCGTAAAATCGAGCCGGAGCTGTCGTGTCGCTGAAACTTTTCGTTCAACTCAACCGTAAACCGTGCAAACTGGCCGGCGTGTCGCGTGAATCGGATGGAAAGCGAGCCAAGTCGCGGCGGGGCGTTTCAATATTGAAACCGTGACCGGCGGGAACGGGCTGGTGAAATCGAAGATGCGGCGAAAGCACCGATTGGAAGTTCAAAGGATACCACGGCTGGTCTATCAAGCGCTTTGCTCTCGCGTTACGTCCGTGGAAAGTCAAAGTGAGGGAGGGGAAGGACGTTGATCGCCGCGACTTTCACGCCGTGCCGTTTCTGCTCGATCGCGTTACGAAAATCGCGGTCTGTTGATGGTCACTGGTTTTTACGATTAGGATTGCCAAATTAGAACAGTGGCGCGTCAAATTCTTTAAACTCGTCCTGAAACTGGATGGAATTCATTTTGGTAGATCCGGATATCATGGAATTTCGAAGCTTTGAGCTTGGTTCAAAGGAATTCTGCAGGGAGGAATGGAATTTGCCTCGAGTTTGATGAGATCTGGATTTCAAGGAATTGCGAGACGTCGAATTTGACTCAGAGGAATTCTGAGGCTTTGCACTTGGCTCAAAGGATTTTTTTAAGGAAGAATAGGGTTCGTTGAAAAGTCTTGGTTTCGACTCTGAAGAATTTCAAGGCGCCTGATTCGAATCAAAGGATTTCTGGTACTTTACACTTAGCTCAAAGGAATTCTGGTAGTTTACACTTGGCGCAAAGGAATTTCTTATGGGAGAATTCAATTCGTTGAGAAGTTTTAACTTCAATTGTCAGGAATTTCAAGGCGTCCAATTCGGCTCAAAGTAATTCTGTTACTTCGCACTTGGCTCAAAGGAATTCTTTGCAGAGGAATAGGATTCGTTGAGAGGTCTTGGGTTCGACTCTAAGGAATTTCAAGGCGCCTGATTCAACTCAAAGGAATTCTCGTACTTTACATTTGGCTCAAACGAATTCTGGTAGTTCACACTTGGCTCAAAGGAATTCTTTACAGAGAAATAGAGTTCGGAGGAATTTCAAGGCGCTTGATTCAACTCAAAGGAATTCTGGTACTTTACACTTGGCGCAAAGGAATTCTGGTAGTTTACACTTGGCTCAAAGGAATTCTTTATGGACGAATTCAATTCGTTGAAAGTTCTTGAGTTGGACTCTGAGGAATTGCAAGGCATCCAATTCGACTCTCAATTCGAAACGAATTTTGGTACTTTACACTCAAAGGAATCCTGAATTCACTGGTGGCGTTACTAAGGACGATAACGAGAGATATCGAAGCGATAATTATATCTCGTTCGCGTGCATTTTGACATTAAGTGGGTCTCAGAGAGTCGGTCAGTTGCAAAAGTGTGCGACCATCGACAAGAAGTCATTTGTCAGATAAGGCTGCAGGATTTTTTCAGAGAAATCGAATCGAGCGTTCGTGTGACACCAAACGAGACTAATGGTCATCGATTCCGTATTCCTCATTTCTAGAAAGTGACTTCAACAAACTGCGCGTGCTTCGCGAGATTCAAATTGCATTCGCTCTTATCATCGTCACGGTTGGAGAAAGATGGTTGTCCACGTGGCCGGAAGATTCCATTGAGAATAAAATTAAAGAAGAGAACGAAGCGTACCGAAGTGGAAATCCGACGAGTCGGTGGACTGTGGTCGGCCGTGTTATCGATTATCGAACGAAGTTCGACCGTCCAGCCGCGTAACTTTTACGCGAACTTTGAAACAAAGAAGAAACGCGGAAGACCCGAGGCATAATCGAATCTTCCAAAACATTTCAGACGCTCTTCGGGAATTGTTACTATTTTCGACGGAGGAAAACGTTAGAACCGAGCTAAGGAATCATCAAAGGCGATCGAACCTTGGGAATTAGGAAGCGATAACAATTATTGGCCCTGACGGCCATATCGATATGATAATGACGCGCATTATGCACGGCCGTGTGCGTCACTAGGCATCGACTGTCGCCGCGACGCTGACATCAATTTAGAAACTGTCCGCGGCGACGAAATCTAATTATTTAACGAGTCGAGTGGGCGTAACGCGTTTAGAGCGGCGACGCGAAATCGCGTGGAAGAAGACCTGCGTGCCGCCGCGCTTCCGATAGCTTTTCGGAAAACAGTCTCCGAGTTGTGCCGGTGGAGAAAGGAACGCTGCGTGATACGGGCACTGGTCGATGATCGATGAGCGAGCGATCTGCTACGCGTCGATTCCCATTAAGAAGGATCCATATCGCGTCGATTTCGGCGGAAGGAGACCTCTACGCGTTGAATTCAGCCGAAAAGTACTACTCGACGCATTGAATTCGAGTCAAAAGTAATTCTAACGTGTTCAATTAGGCTCAGAAGGACTTTCAACGCGGTGAATTCGACTCAAAAGGAATTCCAAGGAGTCTAATTCGGCTCAAAAGGAATTCCAAGGAGTTGGATTCGATTCAAAAGGAATTCCAACACGTTGAATTCGGCTTAAAAGGCACTCCAAAGCGTTGAATTTGGCTCAAAAGGAATTCCAATGCGTTGAATTCACCGCAATAAGAATTCCAGCGCTTTGAATTCGGCTCGAAAGGAATTCCAATGCGTTGAATTCACCGCAATAAGAATTCCAGCGCTTTGAATTCGGCTCGAAAGGAATTCTAACGCGTTGAATTCGATTCAAAAAGAATTCCAAAGAGTTGGATTTGGCTAAAAAAAAAATTCCAATGCGTTGAATTCGACTCAAACGGAATTCCAGTGCGTTGAATTCGACTTAAAGGGAATTCCAATGCGTTGAATTCGACTCAAAATGAACTCCAAAGCGTTGAATTCGGCTCAAAAGGAATTCCAATGCGTTGAATTCGGCTCAAAAGGTATTTCAATGCGTTGAATTCGCCGCAATAAGAATTCCAACGCTTTGAATTCGACTCAAAAGGAATTCTAACGCGTTGAATTCAGCTCAAAAGGAACTCCAGCGCGTTGAATTCTGCTCACAGCAATTCCAACGCATCGATTCAACTCGCAGGAGTTGTACAACCCAGAAACTCGATAGAATTCCAGTCAGTGAAGACAGAAGTGACGTGATCAGTGTTTAGTGAATCTTATTTTTCCATCTTTCAGTGATTCTTGTCTACGTTTTTTCGAAAACGTCAGGTAGAGTATAAACAGAATCCAAACCGAGTAAGTGTCATAATTTATCGAAGAAGCCGCGAAGTGTCCAGCAATTTTAATGAAACCTCGAGTCAATGGAACTTAATTGAACGTAATTACGTAAAACAAATATTTGTCTCGATAGATTCGGATGTCGTCGATGATCCAACACCCAAAGAAAGAGGCGCCTCTCGATGCTTCACGAGATTTTAATATCTTGAGTGAATTTAATAATTTCCGATTAAAAACAACTTCTTCACGCGGATTAAAATTCGATGATCTTCATCAATAATATCGGATAACAAGTTGACAACCGTTTTATTTATAGATACGCCATCGATAACGAATGACTTAATAAATTTCCGATAGACTCTTATCGTTTTTCGGGATTTATGTAGGTATAAAAAAAAAACAGTGATCAGGAAACAATTATAAAGTGATGCTTACGATTAGACTCGAGAGCGTAGGAACGTGCGGAAATTTACCAGAGGAAAGCAATGTCCATCGAGGTTGTAGGAAAAAGCTGAAAAAATATTCTAGTCGAATTGTAGAACGTGTTTTGAATGATTTAACGTCGATAGCGGTCTCGTAACGTCGCGTTCGCGTTACGTGTCGAAGAACGCCGCTTTTTGTTCCTTAATTGCGCAAATGTCAGTTTGACATTTCGCGTTGTCATCACCGAGACGGTTAATTTACGTTCAATTACATCACAAGCAAACACAGGCCTATGTCTTGCCCGGGAATGCAAATTGTATTTGGTTAAAATTCCACGAAATTGTGGTCACACCGCGCTTCCCCATCAGCGATATTTTAATAAATAATATACGACGCGATAAATTGTTGCGTAAATTATCGCCGACCTTCGTTGTCGTGAATGACTAACAAATAAACACGTGAAATTGTAAACAGCCTTGAAATAATGTACGTTTCAATACAGGTGATTAAAGGGGAATCGGGATTGCCTCCCTTTTTTTTTTTAACTCTAACGAGGAAAGATTCTCATGCGTGACACTGACTTTTTAATTAGCTTTTGTACAATGGTAGATAATACAAAACTAAATCCAATAGTTGAATTCGGCTTAAAAGGAATTCCATTGCATCGAACTCAGCACAAATGAAATTCCAACGCGTTGAATTTAGCTCAAAAGGAATTCCAACGAGTTAAATTTGGGTCAAAAAGAATTCCAACGCGTTGAATTCGACTCAAAAGGAATTCCAACGCGTTGAATTCTGTTCAAAAGGAATTTCAACGCGTTGAATTCTGTTCAAAAGGAATTTCAACGCGTTGAATTCGGCTCAAAAGGAATTCCAACGCATTGAATTCGACTCGAAAGGAATTCCAACGCGTTGAATTCTGTTCAAAAGGAGTTCCAACGCATTGAATTCGACTCGAAAGGAATTCCAACGCGTTGAATTCGGCTTTAAAAAAATCACAACGTGTTGAATTTGGCTCATAAGGAATTACAACGCGTTGAATTCTGTTCAAAAGGAGTTCCAACGCATTGATTTCGACTCAAAAGGAATTCTAACGCGTTGAATTCGGCATAAAGGAAACTCCAAAGCGTTGAATTCGGCTTTAAAAAAATTCCAACGCTTTGAATTCGGCTCGAAAGAAACTCCAACGTGTGAAATCCAGCACTTACATCAATTTATCGCCAGAACCCACCATGAATTCCAGGTTTGCCAGTTCGATTAATTCTAAACACCGTGGCTAATGGAACACCCCGTTACACGGGGCAAAAACTTGAAATCTCCGTGCGGTAATCTTGCGCGATATCCCAGAAATGATCGAGTCGGAGACGCTGAGCGATCCAAAAGATTCGAAATGACTCTCCAGGAATTAGTTTCGCAGGATCCACCGTGAAAATTCGAAGCGTGGAAGAGTCACAGCGGACCGTTTCCATTCCAGTATGACTAGTTCGCATTTCACACCCCGTAATCCATTTCTCTTTCGTATGGTTTTCACGCGATGCTGTGTATTAGAATTAGAAAGCAAACGGGAATCTTTTTGCCGTTCGGTCATCGTAATCGGTTCGAGCAATGGAATTTTTAACGCGAATCAATTAGAAACCCGGTACTGGAAGAGATTGCTGGACGCTCGTTTCCAAATTGTTAGGGACACCGCTTCGAATCGCATTGGCAAATTATGCCAACCGATTTTAAAGTGGATGGATAGACTGTTAAGGACTGTGGGAAAGTTCGGTCTTCCTAGTTCGCTCTTCGCTTTGCCGCAACGCAAAATACTGGGATCGATTCGTGCCATAATGGCCATTGTTACGAGACCTGTTTACTTTAGTCGTATTCTGGGACAGTTTATTCCGATACGCGCTATTATAGTCTACTCTAGTCTATTCAAATCTATTCTACTCCACTCGACTCAATTTTACTTAGTTTTAGTTTAGTCGATTCTAGTTTACTCTAGTCTATTCAGTTCTACTCTATTTTAGTCTAGACTATTCAACTCTACTAAAACCGACTCGATTCTACTCGATTCAACTCTAGTGTATTCAATTCTTCTAAAGTCTAATCTACTCTACCCTAGTGTCTATTCAACTCTACTCTACTTTAGTCTAGACTATTCAACTCTACTAGAGCCGACTCTGTTCTACTCTGCTCTACTACAGTTCACTCTAATCTACTCTAGTCTATTCAACTCTACTCTATTCTACTCTAATCTATTCAACTCTACAAAAGTCTACTGTACTCTACTCTACTCTAGTGTAGACTATTCAACTCTACTGGAGTCGACTCGACTCTACTCAATTCTACTCTACTCTACTCTACTCTACTCTACTCTACTCTACTCTACTCTACTCTACTCTACTTTACCTTCCACCGTCTCTAAGCTATGCTCTCCTGATCTATCGAATACATCGACGCCACATAAATGCTAGAAAACGACTGCTAGATCGGCCGGTACGCGGCCGACTAGACAGCGCTTGACGACAGCGCATACGTCGATACGCGAATGCGATAACTATGTTAACAGCCAATCTACACATTCACCGAACACGTGGCGAGCAAACGAACGTAGTACGAATAGCACCGCTGGTACCGTTAAGCGTACAGTACCGTTCACAAAGTAGGTGTTCCGTAATGCGTTCAATTACGATGCATCTTTCTTTCTTTTTTTGTCCCCGGATCCAGCCAATTACTCGACACGACGGATAAAACAGGATTAAAGTGTGTCGTTGATCGACGAATTTTTGTTTGTTTGTATTTTGCCTCCTTCAAAGGCATTACGTTCTGTCGTCGGATTCGCTTGATGAATTCGCGGGATCCGATGATATTGTCGCAGATTAAATTCGCATCGATATCGTTCGCGTCGCGGCGAAATAAATATTAATATGTTTTTTCTTTCTTCTGTTTATTCGCTACATCGCCAGTCGTGAGGTTGCTCGCGATCGGTGCGCGACGTGCGCGTTCCGTTGACGCCATCTCCCGACTTCTTTCCTTGAGAAACAGCCTCGCTGCACAATGCACGAGCGAACAATCGGGTTCGTACTTTCATTTTAAACCTTATCGTGCGCGCGACCGTTTACCGCCGCGTTTCCTGGTAGCCCGGATCGTTTTCTGGGAATACACGATGAAAGTTGAATTCTGACGGATCGAGTGCCGCGGCTCTTTAACTGTTTTTAGTCGCGATCCGCTTAAACTGGATCTGCCGTGGCGCGACAGACACGGTGACAAAATAACTCGCTGGTGGTTCTTGTCGAGTGAAAATCGGGTCGTTTGCAGTTTACGTTGGAAATCGTACCGTTTATCTTCCGTCTGCTGCAATTTGGTATACTTCACTTGTGTAATCTGGTTATTCTAGTTTATATCGTACTCAGAACTCTACTCGATCTGCATTACTCTATTCGCTACACGTTTGGACACTCTATATTACTTGAAATTCCACTCACTACTCGTTTCGATACTCTATGCTACCCA